CAAGAACTCCAAAAGAACCTGTAAGTTGTAGAGACATATACATAAAATTATATTTATGAGCATTAATATTAAATGAGGCAATTGTTTCGTCGGTATGTACCATTACGTAATAAGATATTCGTGTGTAACATACATACATACTCGAAAACCACAAGAATTCTCTGTTCAAAAATTTCAACTTGGGTATTACATTCAGTTGTTTGCGTTTGTCTTGATATGTCAGTTAATCAGTATTATATGAGTCGGTAGATGTAGATGAAAGATCTGTGAGTTATACAATGACAAGAAAATGAATTTAAAATTTCTATATAGCTCGTACTTTAGTTTATTTGGAGAGATATAGAAAAATAACTCGCAATAATATATGTACATTAATTTCATATTAAGTTGTACAATGGAATAAAGACGGATAATATCAATAGATTTAATGGTACAAATATGAATGTAGTGAAATATAATATTATTGCGTCAAAAATACTGATTGAATAAAATAGTAGATGCAACCATATTTAATTCATTACTCAGATTAATTATTTTCCTTACAATAAAATAACGTATGTTTTAATTAAGGTTTACATTAAATAAATATTATTCCTATATTTTAGAAGTACATATTTACAATATGCCCAAATAAAATAAGGCCTAAATATTTAAAATAGAATTTCACTTAATTTTATATTACTGTTACATGGTTACTTTAAAGGTAGATTTTTTCTATGAAATAATAAAGATAAAAATTAATTATATATATATATATATATATACCTAGTATTATATTATTCAGACTTTAAAAAGAACAACTGTTTTTGTGTCAGTTTCTTACTGATATTAACATCCTTGTGTTGGTTAAATCTGTTTAAATATTCATTAATATATAACCGTTCCGTTTCTACATTTAAATGTTAACATTAAAACAATATGGACTTAATCCTAACACCGACAATATTTATATAATACTGATAGTATGAGTGATTAGACCACAACCTTATTAACATTAAAATATTATATGGCAAGGAAGAGAACATTTCATGGATAAAGGTATACTAAATATTAATTAAAAAAAAACTTCATAAGATTATTCTCAGTAACTCAGATAACTCAGTATACAATTTGACATTATAACTTTGTGAACTAGTTGTAATGTCACATCTACCTACGTTCCTCAATTTATAGTATTAAGAAATACATAAAAGATTGTCATGAATATGAAATATTTTTTTTATACATTTTCATGATGTAAATGGAAGAAATTAATGTATAGGAAAATAATGATCTGTACGGAATATTTATTAATATGCTTTTTGTAAAGTATTCTCATAACCAAATATAATTTTGTGGATAAAGTAAACAGTTGTATTTAATACCATAAACCATAAAAATGAGATATCTAATAATAAAAATTGCATAAATTCTGATTTGAGGATAAATATAAAGGTACAGAAAAAGAACTACTATTATGTTAATACAATACCATTAATATATATGTTATGTAACTAGAAAATACGATAGGCGCTCTTTAACTGAATTATACCATTCCAGCCTTACGGCCTAAGCAGACTCAATATATATGCTAAGAGTAATATATCCATGACGAATAAGCTATTTCCATTCCATATTCATTCATTCAGAGAGACTTAAATATCACAGTTTAGAGGTGCCAAAGAGTACAATCGCTACTTTTAGTTACCAAGATACCACCCTGATTATCTGCATGAATGGTGGTCCTCCACCGTGCACCGTATTGTGTAATGACCCTCTAGTATTTCCGAAGCGATACGATGCTGAAACTTTCAAGAAAAGAACTTAGTACTTCTTAAAAGACCGTCAACGAACAATTCGTTGCAATACCCCTGGTGTGAGGAGTAAGCTCGTTTGTCCCCTGTGCTATAAAAAAATACTTATATAGAATATATATCCAAACGTAGGCTTGTCTACCTATGTATACTCGTATTTAGTAATTGCGTTGCCGTGACCAATTTAATTAAATAAATTCATAAAACAAATAAGTACCGAGCTATATTTAGGTATATAATAAATTGTTTGAATCTCTATAAGAACTTTTGCTTCGTCAGTATAGGAATGTTAGTTAATAAAGTATCGACATAGCAATGAAACCTAAAATAGACCGCACAAATAAGTCATTGGGCCATTCATATATCAACTGAAACGGAAAAACAAACGTTATATCTGATGAGAATATTTGCTGAAGATACCAAAAAAGGTATAAGTAGTTATTGGCCCTTGAAGCTATCTGAGATATTATAATATATTATTGCTTATTCTTGCCATCAAAATTAATAAACACTGAAGCTAAATCGTTTTAAATATAACATACGATTTAATTCACACTACAAATTAAAACATTAATAACAATTACGAGTATAACCTCCACTCGTATTGTACATTTAAACTTATTAATACATTTATATATAAGAAATATTTAATAAAATACATGTTTGTATCGTTTTGTGGTTATATGATTAATGAAATTAGTAAATTGCCTAACTTATAAGAACGTTTAGCCAAAGTTGACTTCCATATTATTGAACTATATCAAATATACAAATAACGTCTATCTGTGTGTATTTTTATAGCGTGGAATGAGTATTTACAATATTTACAAAATTATGAAGCGCATTACTTCCCTCTTTTATTTAAATATTACACAATACTAATATTAGAAGCATCAAATGCTGGAACAAGTTTAAAAAACAACCAGGAATATAAAAATAACGAAAGTATTACCACTTATTGGAAACTTAAACTTCTAATGTTTCTTATTTATATTACAACGCAATATATAACAAAATATCTTATATTCCTGATTGCTGAATATTAAACTAGAACTCTAGACATTTATATACAAGACTAATCAGTAAATCACAGCTCCTGAATGAATTCATTACTTCTCAAGAAACGTTACTATAGGAAACTAGACGACATTAATTTGAGATCACTTCGGCTTTCGTTTGATAGGTCACCTTTTTCTTGCTTAAATTCCGTTTGATTGAGGGGTTTCTGGATTCGCTTTCTAAACTGATTTCGCTTACGGATTCAGAGTCCTGGCAGTAAGGGACGTTTTCGGGGCACAAGTGTCTGTCGACGCACTGTATGGGTTCTTCGAAGGAGGTGCGTTCTATGTTTCTGAGACGGTAGTTATCGCCGCCGCGGCGGGTGGCCCGCAGCGAGCGGCGTTCGCGACATCAAGAACACCGCGCGCGGGGACCGCGACATGCGCCCGCGCGCGCCTGATGTCACAAACGACACATCTCGTGCTGTGACACGGATGAGTACATCATCGTCGACACGGGGTACTGCGAAACAAATTCATCCATTACTCAATATCTAAAATTACGTTCTATATAGTTGTTGCTGAAATGTGATGTTTTTTATTAGATGATGAAAAAATGGTACTCCCGCCTACGGTAACGGTATACGATGGCGGAGCACTGGTAGAAGATGAAATGATAAGAGTGTAGTTAAGAAAGTTGCAACTTTGTGGCTTATTCCGCTGGGAATTAAACAATATGATTTCTAATGATCTGACTTTGTCCATTACTGCCAATTATTACACATCTTTTTAATTAATAATCTCATTTCAATATGATAAATATTGTAAGAGGAAGTATTTGGATAAGTTGGATAGTAAATGATTAAATTTAGAAAAAATGTAATGTATTAGATATGTAGTATGTAACGCAATTGTCAACTGTCAATTGTAATGGATTATTGTATATTAGATACGATATAAGTACGTTAAGATGGTGAGAACACACGCGCGTAAATTGAAAAAATTGTTTTACAATTTTTAACACACTTGATTTTGAATATGTAAACTCAACCGTAAAACTGTGATGCTCACTGTTGCTTTTCCGCTGTTTTACTTTTTTAAATCAGCATCGCACGGCAGTCTGTTTGTAATTTCATAAAAAAAAACAAAACTCACCATTTGCTTTTATAACGCACGGATGTTTTATGAGCTGTTTTATATTATATTTTGAAAATCGGTGAAATTAGATCCACTTTTCGAGCAAGTGTGTTGAAAATATTCTATTGGTTTATAATTTTATGTTGTATAGTTCGAAATTGATATTGTTATAGACCATACATGATTGAAAAACGTAATATATTTTTAATGACAAATATTAGCCAATGCTTTACATAATTTAATTGGTAGATACCACTCACATAATAAAACAACAAACATAATATGTACTATATATGATTAATAGTGAAAAGTATTCGTGTGATATCTTGTCAGCAATAATTTACATATAGCATATTAGGATGTGAATTAAAATTGATTACATAAGGGGTCGCGTGCGTCTTGCATGACACAAATGGATATAAGATAAACAATGAGTAGATTTAGACAAATAACGTGTGGTAAAATATGCTTTAAGGTTCAACATTCATGCAAGATATTGTGGCTAGGAAATTTAATATGAAGTATTGTGTAACATTTAATATTAATAATTAATTTGTGAATTAAATAACGTACGATATGTAAATTACACACATCAACATTATTAAAGACAACAAATATGCAATGGGGGATTTAGAGATATGGAAAGTACATGCACGAAAAATGGGAACTTGTATAACACTAATCTTTGTATTAAATTTAAATGTGGACAACAACAGTAAAATATGTCCATGTTGACGATACGGATGAAGACAAAACACCAAAGGCACATTCAGAAAATATTGAGGTATAGATGACATGAAAATTATAGATCAAGGAAAGGGTCACACCGTGAAAAATTGGATCATGTGACATGATGCATCATGTATTAACCCACACATACCTCTAATATAAAATTTTATAATAAATTGGACTCATGAAGCATCGTCTAAGATATTAATAAGGAATCCTTCAGAAAACCATCCCTCAATTTATGTGAAATATTCAATTTTTGGATGACATAAATTGAATGCGACAAGGCACTTGGAAAATCGGAGAAAAAGCCGAAGCGACTTATACAAACGAGGCTAAATCGCTATATATAAGTCTGTTCGCAGGAGTTTTGTCTGACTTGCTGTATGCCCATCAATTCGCTAGATGAGTAATAGCGTCGAGTCGAGCGGAACTGAAAGTAAAACAAATTTATGACAATCTAAATAAAAAGCAAACTGAATTTTGTTAATCAAATCAAAAGTTTGTTGTGAAACACAATTTGTCTTAATTAAACCCGTTTTTTCTTACCTGAGATTGTTTGAAGCGTAACTGCGGTTGATATTTCCGGCGAAGCTTCCGAGGGCAGCATACGCACAAAATTCTCAGAAATGCCCTGAAACAACAAGAAAAGCTTAGTGAAAGTAATTTAGCCTTCATCCTTGCTTTAGGTTAATTTAAGCCAATTGTGTCTAAGCGTGAGATTCCACTAAACCGCTTATGTGATTCGTAGTAGATTTGAACAGAACTCCATTTAATTAAACTATATGAAGTTTACTATAGAACGATGGCAGTTATTACTTCTCATTACATAATTTATTACCTAAGTCTATTTTTATGTTGTATATCATAGTTACTAGATATAAATCTCAGTCATGATTTTTTTGCGCACTGTCTATTAAATCAATGATGAAAGCTTCCATTTTCTTTCAGTTTAATTTGGTATTATAATCAGGAAAGTAAATGACAAGGAACAAGTCCATTAGCATTGCAATTCAATAGGCTGAGGAAATTCTATTAAGCTTTAATTATGAACTGATAAAGATCTGAATGAGCAAATGATATAGCTTTGAATGGCTCTTCATGTAACCATGATTGGACATAGCTGTGCAGTCCATGAAAATGTATCTAATTACAGGGACGAAAAATATAATTTTGATATTGTAAGAATTAATGCACAGAAATAATAAATAGCCTATAAGTTAAAATTTATATTTTTTTAGAGCACTAATCCTGATACACCTCCTTCATTGTACCTATAATGCAATATTCCTGTTTTCATAGTCATGGCGACGAAAAAGAGTAGATGAAGTCTAAATTAATGAAATGTAGAGCTCTCACTGAGTTCTGAGTCTCCATAAATGGCTACAGTACAAGAGAAATTTCACTACATTACTCTTAATCCATAAAAGAATAAGGAGGATTTAAAATTTTATAGGGCACTTTATTTTTTAACTTAATAGCCTAATAATATAATTTGTATTGATGTTTTATTGAAATTAGGTATTAATACAAAAAAATATTTATTTTAGTATATGAAGAGTATGATCTACTATACTTAATATTGGAATAAACGAAATGGCAAATAAATCCAGAGCGTTATTTATGTTTTAGCAAGTCTACTAATACTTAATTTATATTGTAGTTGTATTTTAATTGGTTAACTACCAAAATGTTGATGTTCTTATTATTTGTTTAGCGCTTTATTTATACCTCTTGTTTTCTTATTCTCAAAGTAGGTAATAAATCACCCATGTTGCAAACTATAGGGCTTGAGAGTTCGCAAAGAAAGAAATAAAACAATCTGGAAACAGATTTAACTCCAATGGAAGTTTAACAAAAAATGCAGGCGTAAATCACAAATGACGACATGCTATTTAACTTGCAGATTATTATTATTACGGATAAAACTATATTAGACTTCATTCCTTAGGCTATGGCAGATAAATAAATAATTTACAAGGATGAAATAGTTATTACTTATAGCTATTTAAAAAAAAATATCGTGCTGCTAACTGGTAATAAAATATATTGTATTTTCTGTACTCTTGACAACAAACTTAATTCAGTAAATAAACTGTTGATGTTAGTATATTTTGGGTCTTTATAAGTCACAGGTGTTCTGTATACATATGAAGAGAACAGAATGTTTCATCCTACAAAAATCGTTTCATTCCTCTTAGCATACAAGTTATGTAAAATGGTTGCAACGTCTGCAAGTAACTATCACGTGTGATATATTATATTTCATTATACTCGTATTATGTTCGTTGGTTCCTTTTCGTATAGCGAGTTAACTACAATAGTTAACGAGTAATAATTAATTGTGGGAATAACAGTAAAGGATTTGGTTAAAATATATCAGAGGTCGAGTGTAAAATTTCATCTACAGCAGTAATTCAATCTCTTCTATTTCAGCCACAAAGCATTTTTACAAGCTGTGTTTCGCTCAGATTACGCAGTGAAATTAGAATTACGTTTAGGAATGGCAACGCATGTGTGTTCTCGGGCACCACATGCTAACATGATGTCTGTAGTGCTGCTCATATAAGATCTACCATCAGGTGGGTGGTTAACTTGTTTGCTATTCCAATTACATAAAAAATATATAATACCCGAGTCAGGCGTGAATATATATAGATAGATAACAGCAATAGTCGTTGAGTAGTAATATAAAAGTGATTCTTTCCTTTTACATATGACTTCTTACTTTCCTTCGATTGTCCGATCAATTCACGTCTATTTCACATCGGCTAGATTTCTCTATCCTAGTTATCTATGAGTAAGGCCATATGCTAACACATCTTTATGGACACAGGACAGCTATATGTGTTTAGGGAGACGTTTTCCTTTTTTGCCCTTTGGGATTTACAATACTGATATTAGGGTTAAACTAACAAAGCCTCTTTGTTTCAGTTTTCAGCTTTGGCCCATTACTAGCACTGTTAAAGTTTGAAATCTGTTTTTCTCTACTGATAATAATATTTCTCAATATATTTAAGAACTAAATTCTTTAAATCTTGTTAGTAATATCTGATTATATATATTTTATTGTAAGAGGATTAAAGAACATCTTTAGAAACAATAAATATGAGGCGTTATAATATGTGTTATAAAGGATATTAAATAAAAAAAATATTTTTTTTCAGTTCTCATACAAAAGTTATTACATACGAAGGGGAAATTCTTCTTCATTTTTAAATTAATTCCCAACCAAGACATTCCTGGCCCTTGATTTGGTAGCACAAAAGGAAACCCTGAAAACATGTAATGAAATTTCGATTGTTGAGGTTTCCCCCTTTTGTCAGAAGCAACGTATTATTAACGTTTTTCCAAATTTTTGCAGTTTATATTGTACAGTATATTAAATGAATGAATTAGACAACGAAATATATTTTTGTTTGTTAATTAAGTATTAGTATATATTAGTATATATACTTTGTTTTAACTTATTAACAATGTTATTTAAATAAACTTTATCTTGATCATAATAATTTTTACTAATCATCATTAAACTTAATTTTTGATTAAACTATGGTTACATATTTGTCCTGAGTCTATTTTTCAAGAAGTCTGCCGAAATAAAACCATTTTAAAATTTTGGGCATCGTAAATAAACATTCTCTACAGGCGTGTGTAGATTACGATGGTTTGTTTTAGCTGACGACTAGGTTTTTATCTCGCTTCGTTGTACCCACTGAATAAATACTGACATTGTGTCTGATGTGTCATAATGCTAAATTAGTTTATAAATAACTCGAGAGAAAAATTTTGTACAAGCACAACGTTGTCACGCAAAAATATATAGAAAATATTCATTTTAATTTTGCAAATATTTCCTCAGCGTAATCCCGTTTCAGAGCATGAGAGAATAAGATGAAAAGGAAAATGTTGGATGCCGCATTAGACACCTTCATTGTACGAAGATTAAAAAAACACTGGGCTGACTCGACGGTATATTATATTAATTAATCGATGTACTTCGTTTGAAGTATTCACTAAAATTCTTGTAATAATGAAGTTTACTCATTTACTTTCTCGCTGTAAATTTTATATTAGGTCAATAACATTCTTGTAGATAATAATTTGAAATGTCTTTCTTAAGCTTACAATGTCAAAACTCTTCAGTGCTTTATAGGTAGATCTTAATATTTGCATTTTAAATAAATATAATAATGTGGTCGCAAGTGTAGCTGTTCTGTTGACGTACCATTATAAAAAAATAAATACACGACAAAGGTAATAATTGAAACAATATTCATAGCTGACCTTGGAATTTTTTGACCTGGAAATTTAATTTTAATAAATGAGTTAAATATAATAATGCCTTTCATTATAATAAATAATGAGTACGACAAGCTCGTTTTGTATCCAATCTAAATAGATTTAAAGAAAACAAAATTTCCGTGGCACTCGTTAACTGCAGAGAAAATTGAATTTTCTTCGGCTCCAATGTTCAAAATCATAGGTAGGTGAATACAAGAAATGGCAAAGCAAACGATGTGAGAAATAACTTTAATAGTCCCATTTATGACAGTGTTTCGAGCAGTAAAGCTTGCATATATATTACACGGGTCGTAATAACAGCGCAACCACTTCAATAACTTGCATCTTAAACGTGCTATAATGTATTTCTAGATATGAGTACTTATATTCAATATTACAAGAAGTTATAACTCGTATATCTATATATAAACAGAGGTTATAAGCGTTTATTTTAATTGTACGTTTATTTTTACAAAACCATACAACAACTATGGTTAGTAAAATAAAAAAAAATGCTTATTTTTACATTATAAGAGAGTAGTAGTACCTCAAAATAGAATCAGACCACATACAGAGAGTTTTCTAGGTCCTGATCAATATGGTTTTAGACAAAATAAAGGAACACGTGAAGCAATTTTGGCATTTCGGTTGATAATAGATAGAAGATTAGAACTTGGTATTGGAACGAGTGTTGCATTTATAGATTTGGAGAAGGCCTTCGATAATGTAAACTGGAAAAAAATGATGCAAATATTAAGCCGGTATAGATTACAAAGATAGAAGAATAATTTATCTACTTTATAAAAATCAAGAAACAATAATAGAGATAGGCGAGGTTAAGGAAAATGCAAAAATTAAGCAAGGGGTACGACAGGGTTGTCCACTCTCACCACTAATATTCAATATATTTATAGAAGCTGCAATAAAAGAAATAGTCGAATTAAACAAAGGGGGGATTAAAATAAATGGTCAAACGCTACATTTTATTAGGTTTGCTGATGATATAGCTGCATTAGTAGAAGACTACACACAACTACAAACACTTTTAGAAACTATGAATACCATTTGTAAATCATATGGGCTCAAAATAAATATAAAGAAAACTAAATCAATGAGAATAACAAAAGTCAAGACCCGTAATAAAAATAATCCAAAAAATAACAAAACACAGTTCGAGCAGGTAGACACATTCAAATATCTAGGCAGTTTAATCACCAACGATTCCAGATGTACCACAGATATTATAACAAGAATAGCCATGGCAAAAAAAAGCATTTAACAACAAAAAATACCTTTTACGCGCTAAAATATCAAAGACCTCACGGAAACGATTTATTAAAACCTATATCT